AGATTTAAAGTTGATAAGAGATTATATACTTGTACAGAGCTGGAGATAGGATGCTGGCTGGCACTAGCTAGAACTCCCTGCTCCGCTTTGCTGGAGGCGGTGGTCGCAGGCGCAATAGCTGCTTCAGCAAGCCCGGCTCTGAGAAAGCTGCAGCCCCAGGTTCTCTCGGGAGCCTTCGTGAGCGAATGGTGCTCGCCCCATGTGAGCTCTGACAGCTGCGGGTCCTGCAGCTGTAGGTAAGGACGTCTTGTCTTGTGTGTCAAGTGTCCTGTATTAGACACTTACATGATTATCCGCCTCTCCCTATCCAGAGGTCTCCTTTTCACGTGTTCTACTATTATTCCCATTGATCAACAGTTCCGACAACTGTCCATTCCTGTACGGGGCCTTGCAGCAGCTTCTTGCAGGAATTGTGACACACCATTGACCACACCCTTTTCTTTTTCATTCATGTAATGAGCGGGTAGGCTGCACTTCTCTGTTTCAGTCGTGTTCACGGGATATTGATAAGAAGTGCGTATTCAAGTGTAGGGGTTTAGGTGTACTTGAATCGGCTGCCGAAGAGTCCGGAAGAACTAATTTATCTAGATACATCGGAAAGCACATAGTTTATACAGACACTTCTCCCATCCTTCAGTACGCGGTCGCTTCTTAGAGCGAGTGTTCGCTCGATTTCCTGAGCGGTGCCCAAAGCTTTAACTTGCCCTGAGACAGACTTGTGTGCTGCAAGAATCCCCTTTTGTCTCCGACCGTGCTCCGGCTGGGCTCCGCAGCCAAGCCATTCTGACAGCAAGTCCGTGCCACAGTGCGCTCTCGCTTGTACGTTGCAGGTGAATACTCGACCGGTACATTTAAATATCGAACCCGCCGTCGTACTTCGAGATTTTTAAAATTAGGGTCGAGGTACCTGTGCTGTTATGGCGCAAGCTCGGCTGTCGATTGTTAGTTATAGAAAGTACGGCGCCGCCTACTAGCGAGCCGCCGGTAAGAAGCACGACCTACATAAAGGATTACTACCCGCTACTACTATATCAAATCGGAAGGGGACTATACATCGTCTTTAATGATCATTTTCCCATAGCTACGTTGGCTCTCAACACGCCTTCCTGGTACAATAACTATGCTAATTTATGTATACAGTACAGTGGGCGTTCCGCGGAACTAGATAGAGAGACCTGCAAGTCATGACAGAACCACAGAGCTACACATTCGACCTCACTTACACGTATAAGATGGGGATGGTTCTCAGAGACACAGAGAGCAGGAGAACAGCTACAGAGGCATATACACAGATAGGAAGCACATTCGCGTTAAGGCGGTGTGACGGGGAAAAAGGTGACATCGGTGAAAAGGGGGACGTTCTCAAGATTCCGCGAGAATGGGGGCGGAAGAATATTGTTCCTTACCATGGGCCATGACCATGGTTATTTCTTTTCTTTTCTTTTCCTCCCTCTGGAGGGGGGACAAGTTCTTCAACAAGTTTCTCAAGTTCTTCAAGCATGACAGTCATTAGTTCTTCTTTTAATTGACTTCATTATTATCATTTCTCATGGATCATCTTGCGTGGTGACTCCGGACAGTTCTTCTATTGTTTTGTGTGTGTAAGTGTCCCCTATTTGACACTTTCATGATCTCTGGCTTCCCCCTATTTGGAAGCCTCCTATGGTTGCGATACGGCCCTATTCCCGTCGATCAACCATTCCGACGTCCCATTACCATTCCTGCGGGCGGAATTGCAGCAGCTTCTTGCAGGAACTATTCTTGGCCATTTGACCACTTCCTTCTTATTCTTCTTCTTCTTTCCTTGTTTCTTGTGGTGTGCGGGCAGGCTGCACTGCTCCGTCTCACTAGCATGATAGCTAACTCTTAGCTAACAGAATCAATTTAACGAGAACATTAAAAATTGGACGTAAGCCCTGTCCCGCTTCATTGAATAGGGAAAAAGAAAATAGTAACGAGAGCAGCAGTATTTCACCGGCGCCAAAGCTGTAATTGTTTTATAGCTAAAGGCCTGCCCAGGGTATGATACTCTACTCAAGCTTCTTAGATTACCTGTAAAGCGTTCTTTGAAGAAGGTATTCAAGTCGAGACTTCAGCCTAGAGAAGAAGCCGCTGAACCTGTTACTTTATTCTCTTAAATACTTCTATCATTTAAGGTTTTCATTTTCCGAAGCCTCCGCGACCAAGCTCGGCACTTTAGCCTCTCACTCCCCCTTGGGCTCCATGAGATGTGTTATAGGGCTCTATGTGTGCGGCTCTAGAGGCAGGGGAGCTGTCATCCTTGGAGAGATTCCTTACAGAAGCGCCCACCTACTCTACTCCTATATCTTTTCACAGTGTCAAGCGAATAGAGCTGAGCCCCACCATTGATATATTTAGAGCTGGCTATGGAATAAATAGACTTCGTTCTAACAAATCGTTCCAACAAATTATTCAACAAATTTGTCACGCAAAAGGAACTGCCAGCTGCAACACTCACAAGTTAACAGCTGGCAGACCTGGCCATAGAAGAACTGGCTCCGCCAGTTCTGGCATGGGTAGAACCCAAGGTATACGAAGTGGCTCTACTACTTCCTCTACATACTAGATAGATCAGAGAGGCAATCTATTCTATCTTCACATCTCTTTCGTACACTTCTTACAGTGACACGACTGCCGCCGTCACAAGTGACGACGTGACCCTTAGCATTCAGCCAGCACTCCCACGGACTTCTGGCGTAACAAAATTGTTCTAACAAATCGTTCCAACCAATCGTTCCAACAACTCACTCGATATAGCTTTCCTACAAGCTGCCATCCTAATACATCCTGACACATCACGCACTCCGAAATGGGAAATGCATCAAGTAAACGAGGCTCATCAGAGCCTTTTAAATAACTACGCCATTGAATATACCAGGTACTATCAAAGTCGTAGTCTATGGTGCTAGCGTTGCGAAGCGCCGATTCTTAAACCCGATCCTGAAGTGCCTGAGGATGTCTAGCATCATTCTATATTATTAGACTGTGATGCGACGACGGATCACACAAGGATAGTTCCTGTAGATGAGAATAGTAGGAAGCTTAGGGCATTTAAGTAAAAGAAAAGGGGTTTCAACTTTGGACGATTATTATTTCCTTTACTTGGGAGAAATTTTATTCATCTGCTATTTATTTTAATGATATGCTTCTTGCCCTTCTCCATTTGTTCCTGCAGCCTGTAATCCCCCTAGTCTATGATACTGTGCGATGCAGAATCCTATTGATACGGATCAGTACAGGCCGACCAAAATACTGGGTATATGAAAAAGCAATGGCCAATGATCTCAAGTAGTCTTTGCAAGAAGCTGCTGCAATGCCTCTGAAGATACTGACAGATGTCGAACTGGTCGATTAGTCGGGCAGCAAGTACGGTTGTGACGATTACATGATCTACAAGACGATTATTACTGGTGAGATCAACCCTGCACATGATAGCTTGAGCCATTTGGGCACCGACGGGGAATGAATATTGAATATACAACTCGAAGAATAAGGATAGATACGCTCATAGCGGAAAATAGCATCTCCTGGCTAATTTTCCAACAACACATCAATACTCTGCTCCGTTAGGATACGACCCGCCCACCGTGATGACCTCCTTATACAGTCAGGCCTTCTTTCCATGGGAAAATTTGACTTCAGCCAGATTTCGATTTTCAGAAGTTCGAGACCTCGAGAACATATAAGGACGCACGATATGCATCGGTCTATTTGCAAATAACTCCTCGGGAGATATACGTGTTAGGTGTTCGGGAAGTGAGTTGGATATGTGGGAGAAAGGGAAAGCATCACAATCTCGTCACTAGCGCATGTGTCCAGCGACGGTCCTTACGCCGGGCGAATGTAGCCACAAGAAGACATTTAGTCCAACAGTGGGGGCACAATTATGGAGCCCAGCAGGCATTCGGAGGAGCCCGAAAGAGTGCCGTAAGAATCAATGATCGTCGGGAAAGCACGCAGTCATCCACACAAACCCACTAAGAAACACATACGGTGCTTCACATCGGGAGTCGTTGCCGAGGAAAAAGTCCGTAACTGCCGGAACGCCTCCTAGATCCGGGGACACGACCCAGATCCGTTCCTCGTTCTCCGGCTTGTTGCAAGTGCAGGCCAGCCGAGTTGGAATGGATCCATGGAGTTCCGGCCTGGGCGTGTCTACGGAACGAAAGACGTCCCGAATATGCCATTTCGCATTTTGTCCTGGTATCGGGATGTAGAGAAATCCATAGCCTTAACTGAAGAAAGTGCTTCTCACCCAAGCTAGGAGGGCATCGGAAGCCGAGACGAGTGATTCCTAGCGTTGCCGCAGAAGCCCCTAGTCAGTGGCCCCCTTCGAGTTCCCTTCGTCCGCACCGTAATCCCTGGCTTATATCAAGCACTCTCGCTGCTTTAGAATTCAGCACCATCTCCCAAACACGAGTCAAAACCCCTTTGCAGAGAAGTCAGTTGAGCTAGGTACTTCCTAGCAGAAGAAGAAGGTTCTGGAAAGTCAGCTTGAAGCTGCAAGGCCAACTAAACGTTTATTTAAGTCTAAATTCGAAGTTTGCAAAAATTGAGGAACATCCAGAGGGCCTAAATGGAAGTCGAAGGGGTAAATAATGATATCAACGGGTCCAACGATGTCGAAAGTACTAGTGAGACAGGTTCGTGTATTATGGTAGCTTGAAAGTGGATTGAAATAGGTGTTCTTGGTATTGTGGGTAGATTCGCGAGTTGCTCAACATATGGAGTCGGAATGTGACGACGACTGTCCGAGTAAGCGGAGAATCTATACGATCGCTCGGCCGGCAAGTCAAACCCCCACCCAAGGAAGGGCTACTCGTATACTGGATTTCTCTGAAAGGAAAACCTCGCCCCGAGGCCATGCTCAACCGACTTAGTTGGAGATGAAGCAGGAAACAAAAGTGAATAATGGGGAAGCTATTATTATCATAAACAAGACCTCAATTTGCTTTCGATCGGCCAAAGGCGAGTTTCATTCACCGAATCTCCAGCCTATCTATACCACATTTTCCAGTCAGATCTTCCAGCATCTCAGTCTTCTCCAGCAAGTAGCCCATACAAATGCAATCCACATACTCGTACCACCTCTCCTGATCAACTCTCTTCTCCCTCAGCAGACTCAAAAATGGCGCTCCACTGATGAATGCCACCACCAACCCTTCTTCCGCCTCGTCCTTATTGGTGAGACCAAAATGACCCCTTTCCGTGTATACCAAGTCCCTCTCGTATCGCAGCTGGCTCTCCATCCTCTGGCAAATTGCGAGATCAAAGTCACCACCCCATGCCCGTGACCGGGACTCCCACGCTGCTACTAGGCTTTTCAAACTCTCCGGGGGCTCTTTGGAGGACTCTGGTGTGTTTTCGTCTTTGGAAAGTCTCCATGCGAGGTAAGCTGCCATCTCAGCATCATTTTCGGGCGAAGTACCATACGAGTTAAAAATCATGCTCAGAATGGCCTGTCCATTCGTCTTGCTGGATGATGGTGGGTCACGTTCACTCGACCTGGATGATCCTCCTCCTCTGCCAGTTCTTTTCTGAAACCGAACAGACTTCTTGGCCTTGCTACTGCCGCTCTTTGAGATCCTTTTCCTACCCTTGATCATCCTCTCCTTTTGTTCCTGTTCTTCGCTATTACCGTCTGGAAACGGGTCATAAATACTCCGCCCGAACCTAGCAAGCGCTTGAACAGTTGGAATGACGATATCGTAAACGTCTGTCTCTTTGGTAATGGCCACTTTGAAGGCCACTCTATCCAGGATGCATCCGTCGATGTGAAGAGCGACCGGCGTCGTCGTCGGACGACCCGCAATCAACTGCGAAAATTCCGGTGTTAACAAAGCGAAAGCATCTTGATCATGTTCCAAATCGCCCCATCGCTTCGTGAAGTTGGGCACCCACGTCGGCAGGTTCGGAATCTCCTTGGTGCTATGGCGGCTGCCCTGCGTCCATATATGCACGCTCTGATACCTGTCGATGAAGTACCTCGCCGCATCGACGTACACTTGCTGAACCGTCAGGCTGTAGTCGGCGACGGGCCGCTTGATCGACGGCGTCTCCACAACCGACGCCAGCCTCAACGTCGCGAATATCTTGTCTCTTGCGTCGCTCGCCTCAAACACGCTCATCGAGGAGCTTGTCTGGAATAAATCTACCTCGCCGTCCTGGGCGAACAAATCGTCGATACGGACAATCTCGTAAAAGGTAGGGTTGTTCGCGGCCGAGCACGCTCTGTATCCTAGAAGGCCTGCCTTGAACGTTTCCCACGGGCACTCATGGCTGCCGCACATCACGATTCCTCTCGAGTTGGCGAGGATGATTTCTTGAAATATCCACGCTCGCGTGAAGTACTTTACCCAGAATAATCGATGGAGGCCCGCGATGGCATCCTCATCCGCCATCACCCCACGGGCCAACTCTTGAGCATCCGCCCTCTCCTCGAGCGAAAACTGCTCAAAGGAAGATCCGCCAGGATCTTTACGAAGCATTGCGTAGACTTGAGCGAGAACGGGAATATGAGTAAAGGCGGAGGCCATGGAATCATCGTCTCCTCCTTCTTCTTTTTCTTCCCCAACCCACATGAGGACCGCTTTTGCTTTTCGATAGATGTCGGTCATCATTGCCACTTGCTGCGTGCGCTCCAGGCTATCTTCTTGATTGATGCAGACAGCATCAATCCAGAGAGTCCTCCTCCCGGACTCCAACCGAAGCCTCTCCAAGGCTGCTTTGCAGTTCGGCGTTATTAGGAGCCTGTCCTTACCACACTGGACGGGAACTGTCCCGATTTTCTCCCGCCACTCGTACGACAGGGCTTCGAACGACGGTCTTTTGTCGCTGTAGAGGTCGATCTCGGTGAGCTCAAAAGAGATGATGTCACCTCTTTTGCCGGGGCTAAGCTCGAGGACGCGAATATGCCCCTCCCTTCCCCGCCCGCTTAGGGGTTGATATTGATACCGCTTTCGCTGAACTAGCGTTTCTTGTTCCATTTTTCTCATCGCCCTCTCGTTCACTTGCCTCAGGGTTACCGCCTGGCAAAGCAACTTCACAATGGATTCGTGGCCGTGTTCCTTGGCGTGAGATAAGGGGGTTCGGCCATCGTCGTCTGTGAGGTTAACATCGGCACCCGCCTCTATTAATATCTTCGCTACCATGCTGAAACCGTTCTGTGCGGCGAGAATAAGCGGTGTCTCCCTATTGTCGGAAAAGTGATTCAGATCTGCACCGTGGTCAATCAGTAGCTCGACGATGCTTTCAGCCCCGATCACGGCTGCTATGCACAGGGGCGAACAATTGGAAGTAGACTCTGGCCTCATTCGAGCTCCCTTTCCCAGAAGAAAGCGTACGAGGTCCCTATCGCCATTACGGCAAGCCTGAGTAAGAGGGGTATAGCCGAAATAATCCCCAGATTCGACATTGGCTCCTTTCCGAATCAGAATTTCGACCACCCCCTTGTGTCGATTCCTTGCGGCGTGTAGCAGTGGCGTTATTGAGTGTTCATCTTTGATTTCCTTCTTTGCTCCTAGCTTGAGAAGGAGTTCCACAACGTCCTCGTGCCCATACTCGGCCGCGTAAGACAGCGGCGTTCGATTGGAATTGTCCACTTGGTTGAGCTTTGCCCCATGCTCGTACAGCAACCTCACAGCCGACGTATGACCGTAGCCTGCGGCGAAGGACGTGGCTGTTCCTCCGGAATTTTTTGAGCGTCTATTCACATCGGCCCCTTCTTTAATAAGCGTGGTGATGGCGAGGGTTTGCCCAGCTATCGCAGCGCGGACTAGCGGCGTGCCACCATCGGCGTCTTCTTCTTTAGTCCCGTCGACATTGGCTCCTGCTCTGATTAGACGGCGAATCTCTGCGACCCGGCCAGCTGCCGCTGCTTCCGATAGATCCTTTGCGTTTTTGGCACGTCTGTTCGATTCGGAGTCGAGAGCGCTGTGATGTTGCAGCAGATTCGCAAGTTCGTCGTGACCCTGGGCTTTCGCAACGGACAGCGCTGTACGTCCGTTCGGATCCTTGAAATCGACCTCGGCACCAGCCTTAATTAGCAGATCGGCAATACGAAGATAACCGCCAGCGGCGGCGAAGAGCAGCGCGGTTCTGCCGTATTTGACGGTCGTGTTCGGATCGCCTCCTTTCTTCAACAAAAGCTCTACGATGCCCGCATGTCCCTTCTGGGACGCTGTTGACAGCGGTGTTTGGCCGTCAAAATCGGCCGAGTCCACGGGAGCCCCCTTGCTGAGGAGCCTCCGTACCACCTTTTCATGTCCATACCGCGACGCCCACCAAAGCGCCGACTGCCCATTCATATCTGTCAAGTCCAAGTCGGCTTCGTTCTCGATCAATAGATCCAGCACAGACTCGTGGCCGTTCTCTGCAGATACGCATATGGCTCTTCGTCCATCCAAATCCATCGCGTTGACGTCAATACCGTCGTTCTTGATGAATCGCGATACCTGGACACAATTGCCCTTTTCGGCGGCAGACACAAACATGGCCACCGTCTGCGATGCCGATCGATCAGACGCCTTCTTGCTCACCGGTGTCCTGTTCTTCAGCATCTTGGCTATGGCGATGTGTCCCTGTTCTTGGGCAACCGATTCGGGTCGACGTCCGTCGAGTGTCTCGGCGACCGGATCGGCACCGTGATCTAGCAAAGCCTCCACGACAGATTCCACGCCTTGAAATGCGGCATAATGTAGCGGCGTCCAGCCTTCTTGAGCCGTCGTAGATACGTCGGCACCGCACTCAAGCAGCAGCAGAACCATATCTACGAGTCCCAAGCCGGCCGCTCTACTCAGCGCCGTCTGACCCGCCAAAGTCTCCGCCTCGATATCGAGGCCGCGTTTCAGCAGGAACCGGACGAGCGGCTTGTCCTTCGCAGCCGTCGCGTAGTGAAGTGCGGTGAAATTATTCATCCCTTTCATCTTGAGATCAGCCCCGTGGTCTGCTAAAAGGCGAACGGACGCCAGCTTTCCTCTTTGGGCGGCGACGAGGAGCGCCGTAGCCTTCTTGGAGTTGATGGCGTCTATATCTGCGCCATTTTCTATCAGGAACTGCATGGTCTCTTCGTGCTCTTGAGAAGCGGCGTGGTGGAGAGGTCGGTTTCCCGCGTCATTGATTGTGTTTGGGCTGGCCTGGTTGTTCCAGAGTAGACGCACAATCTCCGTGTGTCCGGAATGAGAAGCAGAAGCCAGCGGGGTATACCCCTTGTTGTCCTTTTGCTCTACATCGACACCCCGACGCAGGAGAACTTCAACCACGGACAAACTGTTGAACTGCACGGCGCGATGTAGCACCGTGTGTCTTTTGTTGTCTTTCGCTGCGATATCAGCTCCAAGACTTGCGAGATACTCCCTAGGGGAACCAGTGGTCCCTACGTCAGTAACCCTCCTTTTCTTAACATCAACACTGCATAGAAAATGTGATGGGATCTCCTAGCTTTGGGGGCACTAGCTGCACGCATGCGGCGTGCGTCAGACCTGGAGATAGAGACTGAATCATCATAGCACACCTCTTTAACCCTGCCCTTGATGTATTGGTGAGATACGAAAGTAGCACTTACGCTATCTCAGCTTTGTTGTGTTGTGCTGCTGCATGCAGAGACGTAGAGCCGCTTTTACTCTCCTCTGCGATATCAGAGCCTAACTCAACTAGGAGCTGTACTGTCTCAACGTTGGCCCAACCGCTTGCATATTGTATGGCCGTAAATCCAGAGTCATCCTCCTCATGAATATCGGCACCGAGGTCCCGCAACAGCTGAATGACCTCGTTGAAACCATGGTTCGCCGCCGAGTGCAGAGGAGTGCTCCCCAGGTTATCCCGCCACGACAAATTCGAGCCTAGACCATTAACTAGAAGGCGAACCGCTTCGCAACTTCTGCCCATGACGGCATAGTGAAGCGCCGTACGACCCAGATCGCACTTCCCCGCCACGTTCGCCTTTGCTGCACCCAGAACCCCCAGCACATCGCAGGCCCCAGCGAGTGCTGCGGAATGAAGTGCCGTCCCGCCGTTCGCGTCCTTGGAATCCACATCGGCGCCTTCCCTGAGGAGCAGCCGCACTAATTCTACATTGGCGTCCGTTCTTGCTGCCCATCGAAGCGCCTCACCTCTGCTGAACTCTACGCTGCTGGGGTTAAATCCCTTGTCGAGCAAAAGCTTAACGGCTCCCGGCGAGGGAGGAAGCGTATCGGACATGGAGGTGGCTGAATCTGTTTAGCGCCCTTCTCTTTCAGTCCCGTTTTGGATTGTAGACAGCCGCATTTGTAGGGTGTGAAGCGGGGAAGATGATTTCAGCCCTACAATAAATAATATACATAAACTAATATTCTAATATTTACATATTTCAAAAATTATTTTTATAAATACTTATATTTCTATTTTCAAAAAATACAATATTTAATAAAAAAAATAAATTATCAACTTAAATTTAAGAAAAAAAATAATATAATAAAATTAAATAATACTACACTAGAGTAAAAGTATAAGCCAGTTTTGGTGGTGTTTGTGACGACCTGGCCGTGGCCTGGGCAGCCCCAAAAGGCGGTGAGACGCGGCAGGAAGAGAAGTCACGTCAGGAAGGATGCTTAGTCAGGCAGTCGGACGGAACCCAAGTCCGACTGATCGGCCGAGGAAGGGTTCGACGGGACGATCGTGGTCGTGATCGACCGACCTGTCGACTACAGGTCGTACCGACAAAAGAAGAGGAGGAAGAAGAAACGCCTATATAAGCTATGAACTCCTCCACGTATCTAGTTTGTTCTTCTAGCCTCTTCAGTAGTCAATTCAAGTACAACTACACCCCCACACTTGAATACGCACTTACCAATATCTTGTGAATACTGCTTGACTGCCTCACTTACTTCATAATAGGCGCCTGCGACCCCAAAACTAGTTGTATCCACCTCATACCGTCAACGGGCTAGCGTTAGGATCGTAACACGAGAGGCATATAAAGAAATAAGACCTCTCTTAATTGTATGTGGGCCCCTTCTCCCCCACTTTAGAGTACTATATAAAAGAAACAGCTCCTTTATCCTTCGTAAACATGTAGCTAGTACCTCTACTAGGTTTTAGCTCCTAGTACAGAGTATGTAAACAAACTGGGATTAAACAAGCTTCTACAAATTCGTTAGGGCTTAGGACTCTCTCTTGGTATCTTGAATTGTATCATGGCACTTTTCCGAAAGACAGATTTTTTTCTTCCAGGAGCAGGGAGAGTGTCTGTGTGATGCTCGTCTTATGGGACATCTCCAGGGTGCGTTTGTAATGTTCTTTTCCTTCTCCTTCCTTCTCCTTCCTCCTTCTTTTCTCTCTCCTCTCCCAAGGCTACGAGAATCCATTCGGGGATAGGAGGATGTCATGCTTTTCCTAAGTGAATCTTCGAGCTGACATGCATATATGGCTCCTTGTCTCAATTTTAATACTAACTACCTACTCATGGAAATGAAGAGTCCTCTTTTCTCGGGCGCAACTTGACTTCTCAAAGCAGGTAATGTAAATTCAAGTTTCTTTTAAACTCAAGGAAGGGGCCGAGATAAAGTAAGGTCTCTGCTCTAAAACGGATCCCTGTAAACAGCCTTGAAAGTAGCTCTCCATAGTCTAGTTTGTGGTATGATTAAGACCCGAGATTCTGAGACGGGCAGAACCAGCTAGTAGTTGGAGGGCTGCTGCCTACACGAACCTCGGGTTATTGCCAATCCGACTCAGGATTGATGCCGACCAGCCTGTACCTGGCAAATCGGCGGCCTAAAATTCCAACAAATCAGAGCCTTAAGCTCTTAGCGTTAACAACTCTAGGCTAAGCTTATGTCTCCGATGCAGGCTAATAAACACAATGGCTTCCGACTAGAGGGCTATTATTTCTTCGTGCCTCTGGCGTAGAGGAACGTAGCAATGGGCCGAAGATTAGATCAACGACAAAGGCCAAGGAAAGGAGAAGCGGTATGCTACCTCGGCGCCACCGTCATCTCATCTCGGTTTGTAGTTGGAGTCAACGAGGATTACGATTTTGTACAAATACGTACAGGCAAGAGCCTCTCCATATTTTGAAGAAGCCCTTTCGATGTCGCTCGACAAATCCCGGGAGCAGGCGAGCCTCGCCTCCTATCGCTACCCTTTGAATGGGGAGCCTCCATGAATTTGACTACTTTACTTCTGATCCGGATGCTAAAGTCCTCCTGGCAATCCCTCTGCGTTACGGAATGCTCCTAACCCTTTGTAGTCTGAAATTTGGTTCCTTCAGATCAATAGCCATTCCGTTCTGGAAAGGAAAAGAGGCTACTGTCAATATCCTTGTGTTATTGTCTTTAAAGGCTCAACCATTAGAGTTTTCTCATTCTATAGAAACCTACCCTCTAGAGATGTAGCCTTATAAGTACCAATGAAAAGGACTTAACAGGCATAGGTTCTATTCTCTCATTTCATAAATCGGCCCAGCAATGAATACCATACGACTCGTACTTGCCTCCGGCCACGCATAGAGCCCAACACAATTGTCGTACCCCTTTGGCACGTACTTGAGAGTCGTATCTATCGGGAGGCCATCGATACGATTGTCATCTGTCGGACCATCATCTTCGAGATGGAAGACAGTGTGCTTCGCATGCCGGCCAGGCGGTGGGCCAGGGACCTGTATATCTCGGCCGTGGTTCGTTCGGAACTGATAGCAAATATTACCGTTAGTTCAGTCAAGGAAGAGCGATAGTGGGTGCTGCCAGCGGCTTCGCATCTTTGCCACGTGGACGGCGAGCTAGACGGGCATTTACCTTTACACCACACCTCGTAATGTCGAAGAAACCACCGCTCGGTGGGTGCTCCTCTTCTGCTCTGTCGTACTCGTAGCATAGAATGACGTGCGTCAGACGCTCTCCGTCACTTAATCTAACGGTGTACGGCTCGCCGAGACACTTCCCAAGACTCCTTTGAATGCCGCCTTGATAGCAGAAGCGGATCCCGCCAATTTCGTCAGTACGAAACTCTTTGAGATAGAATTCGAGTGCCTGCAGTTTGACGGTGGCACCGCGTAATCCCGTCTCCTGCCAGAAAAACTTGCGCACCGGTCCACTGTCTCGGACTTTGCCGCTCCATGGGCTCTGACAGTAAAGTTGAGAGGATGCGTAGCGGATGCTGAACCAGTCAGATCTTGCTGTGAAACCCCAAACCAAGGCACCCTATAGGAGGGGTTAGCGCTTTTTTCTTTTTTTCTTTTTCTCTTCCTTCCGTTTCTTTCTCCGTTCTCGAAAGAAATCGGAGAAGGAAGGGATCTTGTTTACAAACTTACAAATTTGTGCTTCGGGCTACTCCACGCGGGTAATACGGTGGTGACAGGTAGATTAGACTGGGCAGCGAACACCGTTTTAGTCTGTCCAAAGGTAGTTGTGATGCTAAATCCCGGATATCGGCGCTGTTCAGGGTGGTTTGCGGCGTTGAGATAGATTTGAAGCTCCGCAATCTCCTCGCCGAGCTCGAGATCTAACGAATCGCATTCTTCGATCCATTGGCCTAGGATCACTGGGCTCCGGCCGTAAAAGTCGAAGCGAAGACCAGACACACAGTCGGGCCCGCGCAGGTCCCGAGTGGCTACCGTCCCCCGGGAGAAGCGAATGCGCTTGATGTCCTCTAAGGGCTCTAAGACGCTGTAGAATGCACTGGCATCGTGCTCGTCGAAATTGTTACCTCGGGGGCGGCCTCCTTCGCGGCCCGCGAGCTCGAAGGGATGCTCTCGGCGTAGAACGATTTCGGCGACTAACTTGGGGCGTGGTTCGGCTTTGATGCGCTGCGAGAGGATGCTGAGGCACTTCATCGCACCAGGATATTCCTATAGGGAGATGGAAAACGGATTAGGTGTTTATCAGACACGGTCTTAAGAATTGGAAAAACAAACACTCACAGACATCTCTACGACGATTCCCGTAATGAGCTCCCCCCTCGGGGCTCGGAGAACCTTGGGCAGGCCACGGTGAGATTGGCAATCCCAGACCGCAACCGTCTGGAACAGCGTGTGACGCCCGAAGTTGGTCACGACACGGACTCCGCTCACAGTGCGGCTCGAAGAGCCTGCTTCAACATTTATCAACGCTCGTATCTCTACGATGCGCTCGCCATTTTTTCCGTCAATTAAAAAAGATTGTTCCGCCGGCGGTGTGTCCGCGAGGCGGGTACAGCTCGTATGCCAGAAGGATCTATCTCCGAGGCAGGATCCGTCGTCGTAGTAGAAACAGAGGCCTCGTAGGTAGCTCACGGCATGACTAAGGAGGCAGTGCCTCCAAAAGAGCGGTCCACCGAAGGCGGTGATTCGGTTTAACTTGGGGAGCAGAGAACCGTCGTGCCCGCCGAAGAGAAGAGTGCGGTAGAAGGGGGAGGTGGTGCATTTTCGGGGACGTTGTGGCTGCCGGCCGGCTTGGGTCCATCGTACGGTGCGTGGCGGTGAGTGGGGATACCACAGCGGCACGGGATGCCGGCGGATATCGGGATTTGACGAGCTGGGAAGAGGTGCCGCGTTGGGACTGCGCGGACACTCGAGAACACGTACGGATATGCAGCGGCAAATCTACCGTAGTCGTTAGGAATTACTTCCGCGAAAAGCTGCGCAGGTTAAGTTTTAAAAAAAAAAATCCTTAGCTCACATCAAAAGCCAGGCCTAGGCCAGAAATCTTATTCCCTGGTCCAGGATTCAACACTGCCACACCGACTTCTGAATCTGAGACATCACAGAGACCAAGAGAGTGGTTTGTTAGTTCACGCTCGTCGCCGTCTTTCCCAACGGTGGTAAAAACTAGGCCGACCACACCATCTACTCTGCTGTAGACATGTAATTCTAAGATCTCGTCTCCGGCAGCAAACTGGGTCCTGTCAAAGGAATCGGTTGTGTAGACTCCCGCCCGTGTGACATTGGCATCATCGCTAGAGCCATACTTCACAGTAAACCCCGAGATGTACCTAAACCCATCAAATGTGATCAGCGATACCGTAAGCTCGATTCCCCTCTTGCTCATATGCTTAGCCAAGTGGAAGAGGCCCCATTGATATACGTTAAACTGGAAGGGCGGCAATCTCTCCAAACTTTCCGGTCGTCGCGTCCAGTGAATTCTCACCACCGGTCCGTTGCCGTGCCGCTTGGGATCCACGATGGAGCCGGGAGGATCCCCAGAGGAAGCAGCGCACCAGCTCGTTTCAGGCATCCTCAACAGGGAGAGCAGTGGATCGGCTATGCTTGCGAGCACGTTGCGTATGTGGCGCCGGTGCAATATCACGAGGGTGTCGGGTCCGCAGATGGCCTCGCCCCACTGGAAGAACTGACGCTTGGACATGCGGGCTACCGCGTAAAACACGCGCCAATTGCGAATGGGCGGTAGTGATAGCCTCTCGAGCTCCGGACATCCAGCGAAGCAGAAGCTCATCTCGTAGCGGAAGTCGACCCAGAAGCGGCTCGCCCAAAACGCCTGCGGGAGCTGTGTGGGTTGGAGTTGAGCAGCCACGCTACGGGAGGCAAGACGTAGCTTGGCGAGGCTCAACGTCGAAACATGGTTGGCGAGATGGTACAGGATATCCTGGGACAATCGGGAAAAGCAATCGGTTGCACGAGCCTCTTCCAGACGATACACGTCCGAGATGAGTCCCGCGGGGCTCTCGTAAAATATAGCGCTCACCTTCTCGCTTATGCGCGTGTTGCTCAGCACGTATTTGTCGACATCTCGTATCCACTTGAAGGATACCGGATCAGACCTAAGATGCGCCAAAGACCTAGCGAGATCAGAATCCTCCCATAGGAAAAACCGACGCCTGTCCGTGAGAAAGCGCTTCGCGTCACCATACCCGTGCCTTGGCATCATTTTCCCGGCCGCATCGCTCGTGGTGCACCGGAAGATATGAAACAAGGGAGCCGCGAGCTTCTCGAGCCTCATGGGCGGCAGGTGGAAAAGAAGCATCTTGAAGCAGGCTTCGTGAAAGGGGTAGGCCCAGAAGATGGGATGTGTGTCGGATAGGTCGAATGAAATTTCAGAGTCTGGGTACCGGTAGTGCCTGTAGGGGTTCGTGTTGGCGACAAGTGTAGTGTCGTAGAGTAGGCCGATACCGGTAAGAATTGGGCCCTGGGCCCGGCCGAGTGAGGTAACTGCTCGTTTTTAACTGTGAGCATACATTTCCCCTTCCTCGCGGAAATCACAGTTTAATCGTTGAGGTGCTATCGCGGGTTTGACGTACCTGCTCGGATTTCCTGATCCCACTCCGCACGTGCGACAGGAGGATCCCGCCAGGGTTCGGAGGGCATAAGCGGCCCTCCGCATAAGGTGCATATGTACATAATGAGGACGATTTTTCTTCTTCTCCCTCTTCTTCTTTCCCTTGGTTGTCTAGCCCTTTATCAGGCCGGAGGATGGAGAAAGGCGGACACCAGAGGTAATCTCGAAAGGGTCAGTGTGAGGCGGCACTGACGGCCTGTTATTAGACCGCTGCTTATGCGATGTTGTCGTTGTATCAACTGTGTTTCCACTTTTGGGGTCCACACTCGCAACGGGAGCTAGAACGAAACGGTGCAGCCTGGAAAGCGGTTGCCTGCGTTGCCTGCGTCGCCTGCGTCTCCTAGCTGCTGTTTCGGCGCACTGCTTTCTCTCTCTGGAGGATTTTCCCGAGAAGCCCGCACTAGGAAGGTTGATCACGGAATTATCTTTACAGGACTGGAAGCCTATGAGTCTCAATGAGAGGGGTGATCGGAAATGATCGCAAACGCAGACAGAATATAGAAGTTTCAAATTGGCAGTTACGTACACTATACTAAATAAAAGAATAAATATCCCACCTATTCAAACCAAGCAGAATACTCCTCGACCTCAGATCTAACCGCGAACACATTCGCCTGTGGCTCCTTAGTCGGGATTAGAGCCTACGCGTCATGTTTACTTTCCTCCACAGATCTTGGATGCGCTGGAGTAGCGGCTGGACGATTTCTAGAGTCTCTTGATTCGGCTGCCCGCAAAAGTAGAGGTCCTGTAATAATTCTATACCGTGGCCTCACTGTAGACACACTCCGCTCTATGTAGTATCTCCAAAATTGACAAAGTGAAGAGGCACTATAAGACACAGCTTATTATTAATAAAATAGATCAGTCCAGCATGACGCGTCGAAAAGGGACAAGTAGTAGCTCATAGTCTAAAACAATTCTTGTTTGAAGTTTCTGTAAAACCCCTGCGGGAATTGACCGATGCTGTCGGTAAGCGAAAGGAACTAATAACCTACATAAACCAACACTATCAGAATTGACTACGGCACAACTGGCCGGTCATGGAAGTTCCCGCAATGATAGAACCCATCTACCAGGACAGACAGGCATATTAGAAGTGGTCCGGACGCTTCCCCAACTTGTAGAAAGAGGGAAGATCCGTCCTTCTACCACAGCCACTAAACACTTCATCTTCCCCGGAGTCTTTGCCGCCCTCTTCCAATACGACAGGCTCCTAGTGACATAAGTCTAGAGTTCGTGCAGTTCCAGAGTTTTGGCTCCGACATAGAAGTGTGCTCTTGGGACAAAACCATTCGGGTGAGCTACGATTACGCCATACATTAATGGTCTGCATATTTCCATGACCCTCGGGGAGAGGGTCGGCGAGGCAAGGTGGCAAGAGAAGACCATTGGGAAGTCATAGGAGGGATGCGTACACTCTAGAATTCCTCGAGTTGTACACAACTGTATTGTAAACAACAGGACGTTGAATACCAGCGCCGCGGATGGGACGAAGGATTTGAACCAGGGCTAGGGTTATGGAAATGGGCCCGGAGTCTGAAGTTTCACACAGAGTGCGAGGAGGTCGGCCGTCTCATATGAACGAGTATGCCTTTGACCGTCGTTTGACAAGTACAGAAAACTTGCAAGCTACATACTCAGCAACCGCTTCTTGCCATCGCATCGGCCTTCCTGCGTCCGGCGTGGGGCTGGAGCTACTTGTTCTATGCTCGCTGTCCTTGGCCTTGGTGGGACGCCCCGGCTCGGGGATTTACAGTCAGGGAGACTTGATCAGAGAGAACTTTGGCTTCGTACTGTCGGCAGGGAGAGCTCAACATATAGATCTAGAACCAAAAAAAGAAAAAAAAAAAAAAGAATCAATCTCGATTCATCCAGCTAAGGAAGGTTCTCAGCCTGTACAGGACAGGGGAAAAACTGTAGGGGATACAGTTTTTCCCTCCAAGTAACTCCAGCTCACTGGCCTAGCCCTCGCCGTCAACTTCACCCAACGGAATCAGGTGCAGAGCAGGGGAAGCCAGGTTTACCAAAGAACGAAGAGGGGGCTATAGGGCTGGCGATGAAGAAGATTCTATTCAATGAATAACGGATTTCGGCTATGCTGTGACGCCGATTAAACGTTGAGTTCTGCGGTAGTAGCGCCCTTAATACGGCTCTGCTTTGAGGCATATCATCAATCTCACCCCGGATGGTCTTGAAGAACTCGTTGCTTTTGATCCGCTCCACTAGATCATTAAGCCTGCCCTCATTTTTTCACGACCCTGCTAGCCTCGTGCTAGAGATGGCGGATCCGCCATGCGCCTCTTGTCGCGATGCTTCTTGAGCACACATATTGCGCACACTTATTGGACTCGCCCCCCTCGAAAGAGCAATGACGACCGCGAGTGCCAGACCCAATGATCTCGCACGCAGATCCCTCCCGAAGAAGGATCCACGAATCGACGCGCTTTAACGTGTTACACAGAGGACGCTTACGTGATAGGCTCGTGGTAAGTCTTGAGGTCGAAGTGCCAGTCCGAGATGTTCGAGATGTGCAAGCGGGGTTTCACCCCGCACCTTCGATTTTAGAGCCCGACGCGCTCTCCATCACGCGTTTATAGAGATCGCCTGCGGCCTACGACGCCTACAATCAAGGTTACGCACAACGTCACCCTTTTCCGTAAAACCGCTATGTCTATGCCCGACAACAACGCCGACAGCCCGGAGGATGATTGCTCCATGTCGCTTCGCGAAATCGCCGCGGCCCTTCCAAACAAATCGCTTATCTCGCGTCTCGTCGAACTCGACGACGAAGAGTTCAGAGTAGCCCAGGAGAAGCGTCTGGAATTTATCGAGGACCTCGAATGTCTGTACTTTGGGCTGCCTAAACGCTCTCGAGATGATGACGATGGGGCAAAAAGATCAACCACCCTGCGGCGCGGTACAGTAAACGGATTTGACGGAGACTTCGTTGCGGTCTCGTATACTTGGAACGCTTCACCAGCTTTCGAACGCGGATCTCTCACCGGCGGCTACTTGGTCGAGGAGAGAGGGTCGAACGAGGTGAAGCCATCTCCGGTGCGGAACAGCGTGTTCGATCGTCTGGGAGAATACATGGAATACCTTGGGTACCAAAAAGATAAAATTGGTGGAAAACGCAGAAAACGGGTAAAATATTTCTGGATCGACCAGCACTGCATCGAGCAAGAGCGGGGAGCGGAGAAAGAGGTGGGCATGCAGGCGATGGATCGGGTATATGGCTATAGCAAATACCCAGTTGCCCTGCTGGCTCGGCCTATCAAGTCGTTTGCCGAGCGAGATCTCTTGGCCTGCATTCTCGATGGCAGCTTCGTAACCAGCAACCTCAAACTTTCGAGCAAAGCGTCGTCTCAGAGAAGACTTCAAGCCTTGGAGCTGTTGAAAGAGATCACGGATGACCTATGGTGGACTCGAGGCTGGACGTTCCAGGAGAACTACAGATCCTTGCCGAAAATGAAACTCCTCGTGCCACATACTCTAGCCCTTGGTAATCCGAAAAAGCTATCCGCAAACACCTCTCAGGGGTTGAGTGTCTTGCGTGGGCAGTTTTGTATTAGTTCACGGATGTTCCACGAAGAGGCCACAAAATTCTGTTTGGCGTACGAAAGCCAGCGACGCATCAGCAAGAGTTTGCGTGATATGTGCGAGAGCGTGAGGACGAGGGCGGGAAAGTACACTATTCTGCTCCGGGAGATGGACGAAGACGGAGAAATCGTGGCACCCAAGTCCATGACGCCGACCGTCTTTAAGGATATTACTGACAGAGATTTGGGGTGGGTATGGGACCGTATCCCCATTGCTGCCAACTGCTGCCAATATTCTATCCGCCTGGATAGTTTGAGCCTGATGAAGAACGAGCCTAGCGTCAGTGTGGCGATGCTAGCTCTCTATCTTCTGAACGGAGAGATCATGTGGAACGATCGTGGTGACGCTGTTGATATCGAGGAAATTCGGAACGAGGACGTTGCTGGCTTCATTGATTATCTGGCGTACGACGACTTCCGCGCTCCCCGACTAAGGAGCCATCTTACATTCAACAAGGGTTGTCGGTTTGCGGATGTCGAACTCACCCAAGAAGGCATTGAGACGAACGGCTACCTTTGGGTAGTTGATAGAATCCTGCCAGCTGAGACGTTTCGCTCCGTCGATCATCCAAAGCGACGGTCTTCACGTGGAGACTTCGATGAACATGGAAGGCGTCGCTTGAGAGAGCTTGTGGACAGGCTCTTCTATATCCGTGAACTGCCGATTGCCTACCGGCTCAAACGATTTCTGAACAGGGACTTTCACGCCGGACCTAAGAAGACATTCAGCAAGCATTGGCTATACTTGATGGCCAAAAACATCGTCCAGGCCATGGACGATGGAAAAGACCTTGGGATTGGACACCTGATCGAGAACGGTACGCCAGACTCCAATGATAGAGGCGCCGTTTTTATCCTAGAGAATTTTCAGGAAGTCGATGGCAGCAGCCGCGAAACCACAGGGAGTAGTAGCTACAGCGATTCAAGCAGTGATGATGGCGATGATAGTGATGATATCGACGATTGTGATGGCACTGACGCCAGCGATGTGCGAGATTTGGACCCCAGGGAACATATCCATGTCTTTACATCATTTCGACCCGAAGAGTCGAGCTGGCAGGGCGAGGACTTAAATGACCTCGACCGGCATGTCTCTATGGTTGTGAGATGTGAGAATGTGCATAAAAGATGTCCTAAATTGTTCACGAACAGGTGGATTCATGGAATTTGTTTCTTCGAAGGACAGTCTCCGCAGGGTGTCCTCTTCCCCTGGCCTGAGCCATTTGTGGGATTGTGACGGAGGCTACTATAACACAGCTGGCGGAATTGCCGATATAGCAAGAGACGGAGATTGAAATGACAACTTGGCGATGGTATCATATTGAGCGAACGAGCGGGCACATCCAGACTGAGAGGGACTTGAGTAAAAGAATTTGATGCAACTCTCAAGTGAAATGCGATATATCCCACAATAGAGGGGATGTTTTTCGAGTTTATTAACCTCTTCAACTTCACTCTTCATTCGAGCTACAACAGGGTTGAACGGTATTATAGCTTCTATAGTTTGCAAGTCTACAGTGTAATCATTTGTCATCAGAACAACATCCTACGTATTGGCTGAAGTTCCAATCCCTGCAGTTGGAGCTGCCCCCAGACGGCGATCTTAATTACTCTCTTGCCGACGACCTTGCCCTTGTGGCCCTGTCGCTGAACCGGATGTACGTCACGACAGCATGATCCCAAACTCAAACGCCACCTTTTCTGAGATGTCGAGATGCCAGTGATTACTATCGCTTCGAATCCTAGCCTGACAAAGTCGTTGGTAGTATTGGTTCCCAACTCAGCTTTTGTGTCGGGCATGGGCTATCACCTAGATTATCCTTTAACTGGAGATCCTGAAAACGTAAGATATCTCCACCTCCCAGCTCGCTTCGGCGATCCCAACAGGAATGTGATACATCACTTCCAAGAGGCCAAGGCTCTTGCTTCCGCAGTGCTGTCCCAATCATAACTCAAGGGCGCTGCCGCACCTACCACGTATGAGCGACAATTGGATGGCCGTCGAGCCTAAGCCTATCACCTAGCGTGGCTCTGGACCCATTCGTATGTATGGGGACTGTGGCTGCATGCCGAGAGGCAGCATCAAGCACGGATGTTGCATCCGACGCTTCGCTTTCTGTGACAGGAAAATACGAAGTACTACACTAGAAAAGTGCCGGATGCGACTCCGCTTTCTGCGACAGGAATACGAAATACTACGCTAGAAAAGCGCCAGAACCCCAGTCCTAGTCCTACTTAATAGTATGCCTCGACTTCCCGCCGCTAAACCTCGGCTCGGACCATCCCGCTCATCTTTCAACCGTCCGCTCCCCCTGTACAACGAGAAGACTACTCCCCAAACCGAACACGTCCCAAAGCCACGACCCAATCTCCGAACAAGAGTGCCGAAGCTACTACCCAACATCATCCATCGAGATAATGACAGCTCCATCGCCCAAGGCCAGCTCTCCCAAGGCGGGTTCTCCGAAGGAGGCCTCTCCCGCCGCTGACGCTGCGACCGGGATCCTCCCAGCCCAGCACTGGGTGGAAGCGTCAGAGGTTCGTAGAAGATGCTGATAATATATATACGGCCACTTTTAGAGTCTTGTCTGGACCGAGAGAGCTGAACCCGATCCGACCTCTAGGAGAATGACGTCGACGACACCGACGCCGCGTCAATCGCTGAGAGCATCGCCACATCGACTGAGTCTCTAACGTCTAGTATCTACGAGTATCGCAAGGTCCATGGTCGGACGTACCACAGCCAGGTCGGGAAAGCCGCCTATTGGTAAGTTTCCCGTGCACCACGCTCTCAAGCCGCGTGGGCTACGCCGCTTAAGTTTGGTCCGTGTGGATTAGACGAGGCGTTATATTCTAATGTTAAATAGGGGCGCAAACGATACTCAGCAGAACGAATCGATGGATATCAAGTGAGACGGATCTTCATTAACCCTGATGACGCGGACGCTAACAGCATCGCGCAGCCACCATGTCCTTACCCTCATGCTTGGGGGGAAACTTTTTCTTGCCCCCTTAGAGACCGATAAGATCCAGGTGCATTTGCATTCCCAAATTTAACCCAATGATTTTCTTCATCTCACGAACCATCTCTAACTTTTGTATTCTAGAAAGTACTTGATGTTGGCACCGGAACTGGTATCAACCCTTTTATTACCTGAGCTGCACGTTATCCTGAGAACTGACCACTCTTCGTGATATTGATCAACAGGCACCTGGGCAATGTATGTTGTCCCCGCCGTCTTCCCAATTCTATTCTCTTCACGTCGTTGGCTAATGCTGTGCCCAGTGATTTCGCTGATGACCATCCCAATATCGAGGTGGTTGCGACCGATATTTCCCCAATCCAGCCCTCCTGGGTTCCTCCAAACCTCAAGTTGTAAGTCTGACACTCTAATTCCCACAACCACGCCCTAGAGCATAAGCTGAGACCCTCTCGAACGCAGCGAAATCGAGGACTGCACGCAAAACTGGACGTTTGCTCCCGAGTCCCTCGATTATATCCATATCAGGTGGCTCGTCGGTAGCATCGGCGACTGGGATGCTCTTTTCGCCCAGGCATACCGCGCACTGCGACCTGGGGGCTGGCTGGAGAGCTATGAAGGCTTCGCGGGCGTCGTGAGCGATGATGAGTCGGTCCCCGAGACTTCCGCCCTCGGCCAGTGGGGCAAGATCTTCATCAAGTTTGGCGAGAGCATCGGGCGGTCCTTTACCATTGTCGGCGACAATGTGCAGTCGAAAGCGATGGAAGCGGCTGGTTTTGTCGATGTCCAGGAGGCCAACTTTAAGGTGCGGAAACTCGATCCCTAGCCTCTTTCTCTTGCGGTGTTTTATAAAGCGGCTGAGCTGACTCGTCTCGGCCAGACGCCGATTGGAGCCTGGCCAAAGGACCCGAAGCAAAAGGAGATTGGCGCGTTCTCACAGCTTGTCTTGGAGGCTGACATTGAGGGCTACGTCTTGTACCCTGCGACTGCCTTGGGTTGGAAGGCTGAAGAGGTCTCCGTCTACGCGGCGCACGTTCGCCGACAGATACGCTCTCCGAATTCCCATGGGTATTATCGCCAAAAGGTGGTATGGGGACGGAAACCTGTCGCGACATAAGGGGAGTATATGAGTTGGATCAGCTCCTGATTCCCAAACCAGAAGACACAAACCACACGATGGGGTCCGGGGTAAGGGAGGCGTGTTTATAACAAGAGGCAGGTTCTGAAGCAGCGTCAGATAACGTCTTGGTCCGGTCGACGGGGTCACCTCCATTGAAGTTGGGGAGGCGAATATATTAAAATTCCGTACTCATATCATACTGGCATCTCTTCGATATCGCGAGGGACATCTCAGTAGCCACGCTAACACCTCTCACCTGCGGTGACGAGGGTTCGGCTGCACGCTTATTCGTACATCATACCAAGTGCCAGAGACCCGTGTTATCTTTTCCAGCTTGCATGAGAAATAAAATTGGTCGCGGCACCACGGACGGAGTGTCCCTGTTCATCACTCTCGAGTTTTTGAAGGACATTATGGCCTCTTTTAAGTCACTGCCTCGAATAAAAGCAACCCATGGAACGAAAAAGGTATTCGTGGTTCCTAGTGCTGTTCGAGGCAATATGTCCACCCCAACTCCGAGGCAATGCGTGAGGACACTGCGATTCCCAAAATCCAACGCTAATGCCCCGAGAACCACCGTCTCCCGATCTCTCCCAGCGCCTAGGAAGTGTCTCGGATCTTCCGGGACGTGGGCAAACCACGTTCGCTCTCCAGGGGATTCATCGAGCGTAAACTCGGAGGATGTATTCTGGACGGATATGCGGGCAGGATTTCTATAGTGCGCCGTATAATAACCTGTCTCACTGAAAGAGAAGCCCATCGCTCCCAAAGAAGCACCCGGCGGCGGCCTAAAGCTTTGACGCATGGATATATTTCGTGGTGTGCTTGCGGAGGGAGCCAGGAGCCTCTGGGGGCCACCGAGAAGATTATTGTGCGAAATTTTATAGATGGGGCCGTATCTTTCGACCCAAATTACGCTTCCTGGGAGCACGCGGCAGAAGTCCGAGCCATCTTCATCCAGTTGTTGGATGACGATGCCACCGCTCGTGTCGCCCGACTGTGCAAGCATGGCAATATGGAGAGCGCATGCAGGGTCATTAGTAACCCGTAGGATGGCCCACCGAAGATTGACGCCTTTATTGGTAATGGTCGCTGAGGGGTCTTGCAACGGGATGGGACTGAGATTGCCCTTGAGCCGGAATGCAGAAGCAGTGAACCATGAAGGATCCTCTGCAAGAAGGCCGCTGAAGGACTGAATAGGGTCATAATTAGTGTGGTTTTCCGGGAGTGTCCAGAGGTAGATGGGATAGATCGGTCGAGCCTTTCATTATTTCTTCCTGCAGCCTTAGAAAAGCCTTCTTCCTTCCCTCTCCATATAGAAGAGGCATGTTCACATCAAAGATGCCCAGCATGCAGTATGCCATGTCCTCCTGTCTCGTTGTCGTCCGGGTCGATACCCATTGCATTCTTCGATATACGGAAATCTCCGAAAGATCCGATCCAAGAAATGCCTCGGGAGGAATCCCGGCAGCAAGGTTAATAGCCCTAGTGGCTTCATCCTTGGAACCCAGGTGAGCCCGGTTCCTATTGAAGAAATGGAGAGCTTTGGGGGCGATTAGCTCTTGAAGTGTCCAACCCCGGGTGAACCAGCGCGCTGCTACCACCTCGCGCAAAATTGCGTCCTCATCCGAGCCAGCAGTAGCAGAGTCGACGATGGAGCTAGTTGTGGATACGTCGTTTAGAAACGCATAGCACACGCCTGCCTCCTGGTACCACCTGAACATGGAGTTGATGGCCTCTGATAGTTCAGCGCTGCTAGTCTTGTCAATACAACACGTATCAGTCCAGATGTATTCATAGCCCTGACTGGCTGCGAGAGCAGAGCTATCCTGTAATTTGGCGTATCCTTTCATTTGTTTCCCCTTTCCGCCGGGATAGAGATCTTGGAGTGAGACCTCCTCATCTTCCCATGTGTGCGAGAGGATTGCATATCGAGGAGGATCGCCAACAAAGCTGACAACCTCCAAATTCGTTGTGTGAAGGAGCCTCATCGTGTCGGATAATAGCTCGGCGCAACAAGGGGGGGAGATCGATCGAGTTATGCGACGGAGGGAATCTATGTTTTTATTGATCTCATGCAACTCGTTTTCCTCCCCACCCCCTCTTTTGGCTCCTCCTTCACGAAGGAGAGCAGGCTGAGGCTGACCTTCTATTCCCCGCAACCTCCATGCAGTCCTGTTGGCGCGTTCTCATTCGTTCACCTCATTCATCTCATTCGCATGAGAACCGCCCTCATTCTTGGCTGAGCGGGGCAATATGTACGGAGTAAAGGATGATAATATTCCTTGGTGTTTGGAAATTGGCGTCGCCTTAATATTTAGACGTAAAGTAGTTCAAAGTCCCCTTCATCGCTCCCATCTATCAGATGAGCCCAACTTTTCCACCTGGGTTGTTCGTGCGCGGGCTTCCCTAACAAGAAATTGTATCTCGGGAACCACAGAATGCCAGCCACCGCGTGACTTTTTTTTATTCTGCTGTGTCTTACCTTATGACCCAAGGCGCGGCGAGGTCGTGACAATTGGTATCGTCGGTGGATTCGCGGGTGTGGATTTTGAGGTGTCCTCAAAGGGTGTCCTCCGACTTACTACCTTGTTCAGGCTCACTTAGGCTCTGCCCAGGACAGGCCCAGGAAAGCAGTCCAATGAGGCCATTGGTTCCGCTTGATGAAAGGAATTGACCATTCACATGTAGTAGCAGTCATGTGAGGCACTTCTAGGCAGCAACTTGGGCAGGCCACCAGCCCTCATATGCTCAACTTGGGGACTACGAGGTTATATCTACCACGATCGCCTGCACTAACTCACTCTATGCTAACTATGGATCGACAAGATACGACTCGCCGGATTCTTCCAGGCGCAAGACTCTGCAAGAATTGTACCAGCTTTCGGTTCGATGACGCGAAGTTTGGCGGCACCGCGTGTTCGACACAGGATAATATGTCTGTTCTGAAGTTTGACTCTTCACGGGAGCACCTGGACTTTCCCATACCTCTCAAGATTGAAGATGACTTACCGGATTTACCGGCGCTGGAAAACTCGGCTAAAACTGGTTGCGAGTTCTGCGGTTTCCTCCGGGGGTCAATCATTCGAGCGGGCCTGGAGTATGGCGGCCGTATTCAGCTGCAGTCATCTTTCGCTTGGGGACAGCCGGACCTCTCCCGTAACACGTATGGGCTTGCGGCACTGATCGTCAAGGTTTATGCCGTGAAGGTTGATGCGTTTGTTGAGCCCTTACGACACCTCACGACTCTATTATTTGACATATGCTGTCATGAACGTATGTACCCCCTTAACTCCTTCAACATCCTTTATCTAAGATTGTCTAGGCGACGATATGGTTTCAACCTGGCTACAGCTTAGACGATCGGTGGCGTCCAAACCTCTTGCGAAAGAAACCATAAGCTTCTTGAACGACTATATTGATGGATGCGAAAAGCACTGCCACCCCTCACGTGGATACTCACCGTATACTCCGTCTCGGTTAATTGATGTCGCGTTAGGTTCCAGTTCCGACCCTCGCCTGGTTGAGACACCAGCTTCATCCCCACGTAGAGTGAAATATGCCGCTCTTAGTTATTGCTGGGGGCCTCCGGAGGATGCCGCTACCCAGCTAAAGACTGAACGTGCTACTTTGGAAGTGAGGAAGGCTAGCATTCCTATATCAAGCATGCCGCCTGTGATGAGAGACGCCATTGAAGCCTGTCGGGCCTTATCTATTCCATATCTATGGATCGATGCGCTGTGCATCATTCAAGATGATTCCGACGACTGGAACAGAGAAAGCGAAGTTATGGGTCTGATTTTTCAGGGAGCTTTCATCACGTTCTGCGCAATCGCTTCAACGTCGTGCCGTCAAGGCTTTCTCGGCGGAAAATTGCACAAGATGCAGATGGGGTACCAATCCACTATTCAGGAAACGGTTTCTGGGTCTTACACGATTATCGATCGGGGAAGCTACGATTACGGAAGGCATGGGTTGAGAAGCCCACTAGAGGTTGAGCTTTCCAGATCTCCTTGGAACGATCGAGGCTGGACATTTCAGGAGGAGGCGTCATCCAAAAGGCTTATTTATTTTGGACGCGACATGGTTCACTACAAATGTGGGATGAGAGAAGTCTCCGAAAATGGGTACGAAGAGGGCTATAGGCTAATGGTCCCCAAGACCGTATTGGACATCCTGCAAAAGGCTATGAGGGAGCGTAGTGGGGAGGCTATGTACACCATGTTCCGGGACGCTTCCGCCAGATACGCTGGAAGAACGCTAACATTCGAGTCTGACAGACTCCCAGCCATATCTGGCCTCGCAAAGTACGTGTCTCAAGTAACAGGAGACAAGTACTTGGCGGGCCTGTGGGAGAAGGACCTCCATTACGGCCTTTTGTGGTCGGGTTATAAACCAGAGCACCCTATGACCCTCCACAAAAGTCTCCAGACCCTACTCGATAGCCACGCAGTGTCTTCGTCCACTATGCCGACATGGACATGGGCATCCAGACCAGGCTTTTTCGAACACCGTGTAGGGACCTTTAGCCTTGATGAAGGACCTGTAAAGTCCGAAGTGAGAGTTGTGCATGCGACCACAAGACTAGCCGGCTCCAACCCTTTTGGGTTAGTCAATGGAGGCGAATTGACTGTATTTGGGCGCTTGGTTCCAATCCCCTCGGATTTCGAATTGAAACAACAAGATATGTTTGATACGGAGATATGGTGCGTTTATAATGGCCAGAGTTATGCGGCCCACTGTCAGCTTGATTGGGTTGTTGGTTCCTTGAATCCATACGACGACTGGGACGACGTGGATGCGGGTTCCGACGATATCAAAACAATATCCTACCCATCTAAAGGGCTGATCATGCTTCTAGTTTCTAGTACTTGCGGGGGTCGGTCGTATTCTTTGTGGAGTTCGGCATCTACGACCGATGACGATACTAGTTCTCAACGCAGCTGGTACTCAGTCGAACGTGGCGATGGGCAAACTACTGATATGAGAATGGGGGACGAAGGAGAGGAAGAGGAAGAGGAAGAGGAAGGCATGGACTCAGAAACTAGCGAAGCGAACTACGGGTCTTGTGATCGACCGACGAGTGATAGGCATGCATGGGGCTTGATCATCCATGAATCTAAAGAAGCTGGGAAGTACTACAGAGTTGGGATCTTTACTTCTCGGGTCAGAGAAGGTGCTGGGATGAGGATGTTTGCTACGGCTAAGTTTGAGAAGATTACGTTGATCTAGAAATACTCTTGATGTCTATAAGGAAGAGCAGCTAGGTAGTAAGAATGGTTGTAGTGTACGAGGTCAGAAACTAGTTTTCTACACACCTTTGCGATATTTCTATTGGCAGTGTGAATCCATATTTTTACCATCCACTCGTAGGTGACGTGAGGTTGTTGACTGGAAGACGTGGAATTTGGCATGAAGGACAATCCAGGATGTCCCCGCACGCCTTCGATTCATGGCAAGGACAAATACAGCCATTTAAATCCGCGTAGTATTTTCAGGGCTGAAATATGTAAGTAGACACACGGCAAATCACATCCCCGCAAAACTCAACAGGAGACTTAGGCAGGCCGTTTTGCCCCAGGTTATGACGGGCCTGTCTGACAAGTACGGGCACTTCAAGTATTTCCGACAAAACGCAAGTCCCCTTGTGTTCCTAGCTGTTTTGGGGATACCCTGGAGGCAAAGGAATCAAGCACAAATCCCCCTGTCGTGTTGCATTCCATGATATCTACAGAGCCTGTGCGCATCCCCAATCTGATCATCTCCGATGCCGTATTATGCAGACATGTTCCCGCACTCTTTTCTCCTCAAGGAACGGCTCTGCTAACCCTTGGCAGAGCCAACCGTCCATGCGAGAAGATTATGTTCTTCCCACCAAACCTACCCGGCTCCCTCTCCCCACCATCATGTCGCATGGGTGGGATCGTACTAAGTGTATCCTGCGCACCAATCTCCACCGACAGCTTCTGGCCCCTATCGATGAGGAACGCTGTCGGCAGGAAAGGAATGGTAACATTGTACACTTTACCCTTCTCGACCGGCGACCTAGGCACAACAGGCTGCGAAGGCACCTTGACCCCCTGATCTCTAAACCCTTCGTCAATCTCGTCGCGATGTGAGAGCCGCCAGTACCCCTTAGCGAAATGTTCGTTTGGCTCGCTGTGGTTTCCCTCCAGGATAACCGGCTTGCCATGGGCGTCAAGGACGCGCAACGTCAGGAAGATATCCTGGTCCTCGGCCTCCGTGGCGACTTCGAGCTCGACGTAGGGCGTCCCCAGGATCTCGAAAGGTTCGCTGAACGGAAAATCGAGCTCGAACGTCAACGTGCCTGTGAGGCCCGGGTACTCAAATCTCTTCTTGCTACCCGTTGGCGGTCGTGTGAGAGTCAGGGTTTGAGATGGCGTTAGGTAGAAGGAGATGTCTTCGGCATCTGGGGGCGGAAATGCCTTCTCGTCTTCGCGGTAGAACGTTTGGTTACCGCGGTGAGTGATGAGTCGAATGCGAGGCACGGAGAGAATGCCAGACTCCTTTTCCTCCTTTAGGAAGTAATCAAGGAAGCTCTTTTGAAGCACAACGTGGTCCGGGTGATAGTAGAACTCTAGGTGGTTTCCCGTGTGCATTTCGAGCCATTTATGCTTCGAAGAAACACCGTTATAGGCACGGATGTTGCCGGGCAGGTGGAGCTCACTGTCAGTCCAATTGCCTGAAATGTAGATTGGCACCTCGATGTCGGAGAGTTTTCGGAGTTCCTTCAGGAGCCGCCACGACTCGCCGTCCGGATATTCGTCCTTGCCTACGAGAGCGGGATAGTCGACGCGGTTCGCGGTAAGCTGATCGGCGGAGAGTGTCTCGCTGCCAGATTGGGAGGGGACAACGATGTTGTTATACCAGTGAGTTTGGAAGTTAGCGCCTATAATCCCACCTTTGCGAGCTGCCTGGTACAGGTCCACGGCTGCCTCGTATGTCACCACCGCGGATAGATGCGGAGGTTTCTGCATGGCAGCCCAGTATCCTGTCATGCCGTAGTAACTGATTCCACTGAGTGCTACCTTGCCAGAGCACCACGGCTGTGCGCTGGCCCATTCAATCACATCGTACAGGTCTAAACAGCGGCTTGTCAGCCCAACTTTCTGCTACTCCTACTCCAAGGCTAGGGGGAGTCCTGATGTTTACCTTGGCCTTCCGAATCAGCCTGGATCTGAATGGAGCGTTCCATTCCAAAGGGGTCAAGGCGCCCTCGACTACCTCCAACGCCTCGACTGTCCACTCTCACAAGGGCATACCCGTACTCTTTTGTCTATAGATCGTTCAGCTCCTACGCTCGCTTTTGCTCAGGTCCCCCTAAACGATCAGGTGGACAAGTTGCGGCGCCGTCATTCGGAAGGATACAAAGCAGCACTCACCCAAAGAAGAGGATCTAGTAACTCAAAACAAGCATCCGGTCCCAACGGCTTGATGCGCTTATACATGTTGACGTACATATCAGTCTTTGGCAGACCGAATTCCAGGACAGGTATGTCCTTGCCGTAGGGGCCTAAGTTGAGGATTGCAGGGACCTTTTTGCCTTCTTTCGACGCCGAAAACGGTAAGAAGATGTCGGCGCAGAGCTCGACTCCATCGCGGAGTCCGACGTAGACATTTTTGATCCGAGTGTATCCTTCTACATCGGTGGTATTTGTCATATACTTTGGTAGAGTGAGGTCTGCCATCGTGCCAACAAACAACTTGATCTGAAATGGGGGCTTAATTCATATGGCCACGCGGCTTGTTCATTGGGAGGGCATGGGACTAGAATCCGGGGTGCTAACTACCACTCAGTCGGGCACTGCCTTGATAAAATAGAACGAACCTTCGAGTTCGATATTGGTCTACCGTGCCCGTACCCGATAACCCCCTCACCGCGGACCTTCCGCGTAATACCCCGCAACCGACTCACCCGGGAGTTGAGTTCTCCGCGTATTCCTCCACATCCCGAAAGCTCCCCGCAACACAAGACCTAAATTCCGGTGAGCATCCGAAAAGGGAGAATGTCGCACCCTTCTCGTCGCCAGCGTGGGAGCGGTCTTTGTTTGTTTTTACAGTACTCTAGGACCTGTGAATACTCCCCGGCAGAACCACGCGGACATAGCAAAACCCCAGGATAATGTAAATCTATTTCTATAGTCAGATTCGTGAACTAGAAACAATGCTCTTTGAAGATGTAGCAATGGCACCCCATACAGATCAAGCGAGCAAAGCGTTGATAGATCCGATACTTGGCAGGCACGCGCCGAAGTATCCAGCCAGCATCGCCCTTTGTACATGCCAGCAGACGAGAGTTCCTCACAATTCCAACACTTTCCCAGGATTCAGCAACCAGTACGGGTCCAGGCTTCGCTTGAGAGTTTTCATCACACCAATAGTCTCCGGACCCACCTCCTTGACAAGACAGTGTTTCTTTCCCAATCCAATCCCATGCTCCCCCGACACGGTTCCCTCCATCTCGATCGCTTTATCCACCATATCTTCCACACAGCGACGCACCCCATCAGCCTCGGCCACCTTATTAGGATTGTACATGACGGCTTGGTGAAAGTTGCCGTCTCCGACATGACCAAGAACGCTAGAGAACAACCCGAGAGTCGATGCGTTGTTCTTGGAGTGCTCAATAATCTCCGCCATGCGCGACAACGGGACCGCCACGTCCGTAGACCAGATCTCCGTGCCCTCGGGACGGACTGCAAGCATCGCCCACAACGCCTGTTTTCTCGCAGACCATAGGCTATTCATCGCTTCTTCCGAATGGGCGACTTGGAGTTTATCGCTGCTGAAGCCCTTGCAAACCGTCTTGACTTGTTTGATGGCGTCTTGCACCGTGCCTTCCGTGCCGGAAAACTTAATGAATAAGGTGGGCTTTTCCGCCCACGTCTTGTTTCCTGACTTTGCCGTCTGGTTGATCACCCTCATCTGCATATCGTCCATGAGCTCCAAGGCCGCGAGCGGCAGGCCTTTGCGGATCATGATGGACGCAGCGCTTGCCGCGTCTTTAACACTTTCAAATGTGGCAGTGGCAACGGCGAAATTGGTGGGCAAAACGGCAAGCTTTAATGTCACCTGCGTCACGATGCCGAGGGTGCCTTCTGAGCCCGTAAACAAGGCATTGAGATTGTACCCGGCCGAGGACTTTCGAGCTCGGCGCCGTGTTTTGATCACCGAGCCGTCGGCCAGGACAACGGTGAGGTTAAGAACCCAGTCCTTCATGGTTCCGTATCTCATAGCGTTTGTGCCACTACAATTGGTGGCCACCATACCCCCAATGAGCGCCGTGGGGCTGGGATCCAGCGGTAGGAAGAGCCCCGAGGATTTGATCTCCTCGTTGAGTTGGACCCAATTGACTCCGGGCTCGACAATGATGTCCATATCTTCCTCGTTAAATTGCAGGATTCTGTTCATCTGCGATAGGTCGATGGTGATTCCGGAGTATGGCGCGCTGACGTTACCCTCAACACTGGATCCGGCACCGTAGGGTATCATGGGAACTCTGTGTTTGGTGCAAATCCTCGCAATGGTTGAAACATCTTTGGTGCTCGTTGGGTAGACGACTGCCACCGGGCGAACCGTGCTGTTCGATGTGGAGCATTCCGAGTAGCCATGGCTCTCGATATCATCTTCGTCCATAGTTACAGCCTCGTCCCCAAGTGCAGCTCGAATCTCGTCAACAGCCTGCAGAGATGGTTAGTCTCGGCGGCACCTCTGGGGCTCGAGCTGGCGACCCTCACCTGTAGCATTTCCGACCTGCTAGCGTATACGGGGCCTTCCGAGCTGTTACGGCCATCTGCCGGCTTGTCTTTGGTGCTCGCTCCAAAGCCAATGGTTGTCAAAGCTATACCTGAGGCAAGGCCTACAAGTCCATAGCCGACCGAAGACCATCTGGGCTGGCTTTGGGTCGACTTGCTATGGTAGCTCCTCGCCCGTGACGACCGTAGAGGCCTGCATCGCACTGTTCGCAGGCAATGGCGCTCGACCGCCAGCACGCTACGCGGTAGTGATTGCATCTTCTACGAGAATTCCTAGTCCATCTTTGTTATTACCTTTGAGAACGCAACTGTGCGGGTGGGGAGTCATTATTGTCGGGGTTACAATCTTGCAATCACGACGTGGCCTGTAGCACTTTTTAATTACCGCGCTGTCCGGATAGACTTACAAAGTAAAACTAGTAAATCTCAAAGGGGCGGACAAGAAAGAACACAGCCTCAAGGCTATGGTTGAGATCAACTGGGCGGGCGGCTTGCGGTGTGCAAAGCGGCATCGGTAATTCGACAATTCGACCATCTTCTTCAACTGTACGAAGTATTAATAATTCGGAAGAAATCAATCTCGGTAAATATGACGGCAGTTCCCAAATGGGGAAAGGCTCTCGACAGGACTCGACACGACAGGGATCGTAGAACGCGGGGCACGTCTTCCCCATCCTCCACAGTGGCCGGCGCTAGCCTTGATGTTCCAATTATATCCGAGGACGATTTGGCGGAGAGCGGCAACGAAGGAGCAGGAGCCTGGGCAGTTATGAATATGCCCCCCCCCCCGGAGGGGGACAGATCAAAGCCATGAAACGCATTTGTTCACCAAAGGCCATGTTGATATGTTGATAGTGCAAAACTCCCTGCCCTATCGTAACTACAGGATGCGGTGGATTATCTCTACGCTCATTGTAGCATCTGCTGTGGGAATACCTAATAATTCTGATTTTCCTCCTGCTCTAAATAGGATCTCTGGTAAGGTGAGAGCTCGACATCGGGAGTTCGACCTTCCACGCGATTGCCGTGACATCGAGACCTTGACGTCCTCGGGTTCATGAATGGGAAATTTCACTTGCTCTCAACCAGGCACTATGCAGGGGGCAGGACGAGCACACCTGGTTTGAGACAGCGACCCAGAAGTTCCTTAACTTAGCGCGTTGGCGGCGCCGAAGAGACCTGGTCTTCGACTGGTGCAGGGACGCAAGACCAACGTAAGGGATACGATACCAACGGCGAACTCGTCGTAATTCACCAAGTTGAGATCAAATGCTTCTGAAGTTGGCAGATATGCGGCAGCCATGGATGGCAGCCCCTGCTCCGGAAAAAAAAGCCGTGCCCCGGGATCCGGGAGACAAAAAGGAGGAAAGTGAAGCGCCTTGCAAGTCAGGCCTAGAAGCACATGGGAAAAAGCGGCGGAATGGTCCAAAGGTCACGAAAGCGCTTTGAAACGGGAAGGCTTGCATTGACCAGTGGGAATCCCAAAGTCGGGGATCACATCCGTAAGAGAGGAGATATCGAGGAAAGAGGAAGAAATATAAGATTAGTATAAGTGAAATAAGCTAGCCAGCACAAGAAGTGCTTGGAATGGCCCTCAAACAACTGAGCAATACCGAAAGAATAAAAAAGTGTTATCTGTCTGTCCCTCCTTCTACCTCTTCTTCCATCTTGTCGGACGGGCCTCTATCCTCTTATACCCATGAGACCCGGGATATCCTCCGGCAGCTTCCGTCATTCCTTCCGCCCTAACATAAACACAATATACACTTGGAAGTGATGCAACTAGTCTTTCGAAGATTGGCATAGATGATCCAGTGCCTGTACGGGTGAACGTCGCTTAGAAATACAAACTTGATAGACCTGGCGAATTGGAGTATGGAAGCAAATGAGAACAGTGGAATGTCCTTGACTTGGATCTACACCATGAAAAAGTATTCCGGATAAAATAATGAGTCTAATACTGATTATATGATTTAGTACTGTTAGCAATGGTTCAGAGGCATTAGAACACATGCCCAAACTAGGAGGCCAAGGCTCCCTTATCTCTATCATTGCATCTGCAGGGTTCGGGCCGTTGGGTATCCGCCTACCAGGGCAGGTAGCGTTGGGATGCGGGTTATGTGGTGGGGGCATGCAGCTTTGCTCCTGCTTGGAGTCTTCGCCACTATTAGGGGCGTGTACGCGGCAGTTTTAGTCATTGTTGGGCAGTTTCAAGCTGGCACCGTAGCGAGGCCATTCCAATGTGCGGATAACAGTGATATTATTGTTGCCGAGGGCTGTGGGGAATCCAGGGAATGTACTAGAGAATCTACTTGGTCGAATTGCCTAGTGTGGAACTCACGAGGCGCACTTGGTAGGTGATTATTGGACTTTATAACGAAATAACACAGAATGTAATTTTGAGACCACATGAGAGTTTGATTCTCGATGCATAGTAAAGAAAGCCCGCCCCGTATGTTGAATCGGAGTTGGCCAAAAGTGCGTGTATTTGACGGCGTACAACCCCTTCCCCGTCTAGGAGAAATCTTCTCAGCACCAAGGTCTTCACTTGGGCTGACCCCTAACAAGCCATTCTTGACGACATGAGGACGGCTTCATGGTTGAAGCACCCAGCCTCATCGACTGGCATAGCCGGACCTCCACAGTCGGCATACCGATACAAGTTTACTATGATGTGTCAGTGAGGAACACCCGCAATCTATTACGCCCTACCACTCTCTTGATCCCATGGAGTCCTAGGCGTAGCAGGCCAATATTTAACTGGTATCAACATACCTGCGCAACCTTCCTGAAGTTCATGGATATCCACCGATATGGTCGGGTACATGAAATTCTGGCACTCCTCGACATTTTCATCCGGGACGACGACCATTCCATGGCTCTGGATATCGCAGCCCACATGGTCAAAGATGCTGTACATGGCGGTAATACCATTGGGCAAGTCGGCGGAGGCGCTCTGGATGCTGAGGGCGAGGAGGACAAGCGAGTTCAAAGTAGTGAAATACATGATGTAGAAGGATGTGGACCAAAGACCGTGGCTGGTAGCTTGAATCTGACTGTTTCATCCGAAGGAATCGATGGTAATGTAAGGTACTGATGGTAGGTACTAGGTGGATTCGGGGATGGGTCTCGTTATTTTTATACTTTGCTTGGTAGCTGGGGACAGCTCAGTACTCCGAGGTGACCCTGGCTCAGTTTACCGCAACAGGCCCGGTACTATCAGATCACACCTGATTTGCAGCCGTCTGTGAGGGGCAAAGTAATATGGCTAAAGACAAACTAATCCCGGGGTCGTGTTCAGCCTACCTGCTATTACTACAATATCTAGGCTCTCGCAGAAGGCGCGATCATGGACGGAGAGGCCTAGTTCATGAATACTAGCCAAAGTCTAACGAATACTCCGTCTTGTTCATGAAGCGTACAACAGGCTCGCAACGATGCTGGTTTCACTGGCACTGTGTTGCCCATCAAGATGGCATCCCTCTTAGATACCAGCGTGTCTCAAGCTGTACGAAAACGCGTGTGAACTGAAAGGATCGGCTTCAGGCTCACAAAGTCTCCCGAGGTGAGTCGCGCAGCAGTCTAGTATGGCACGGCAATGGCAGTTGCGTAAACAGTTAATATGGGTGAAATTTATCTTGAGGACAACGCCAGGCCCGCGGACCTGCCGTTACTCGAAGATCGCTTCGCGGGATCCTGAAGTCTTATGAGTAGACTTGCAAATAGTCTTAGTTTGTTGCCCATTTGTCTCTGATTGCAGTCCTGCCAGACCTGTGGCCTGTTTCATAATCAATATATATTACCTGCTTCCTTGTCGCCGGCTCAGAAAGTCCCTTCCATGTCGCTAAGCCAAACTAGGTCATTTTCTCCGCCAAGACTCGGGAATGATGGCCTGGATAATATGTCGGGATAGTTCATGCAGATGGATATTCCCTTCCTCGAGTCGGTCTTGGCAAACTTTATTCCCAACTCCCAACTGTTGATATTACCCTCGGGCGGATCAATAGACTCTCCGCTTGTTCTGTAACCCCCTATTGTTCAGGGCCATAGAGAGACATCGGGAATGCGTTGTCTGAACTTTTTCTACGCATGCCTAGGCATTTACTATGCTCCTTGGCAGTAGCCTGGCTCTTGAGATAGTTCAGGAAAATCTCGGGGCCTAAGAAGTCTCGCTCGAGAAATTCCTCATATTCAATCTCCCCTCCTACGATGCGGGCTATCTAACTAACATATCATCACCGGACCCCCCGGTGCTGTATAGTTCGTGGGCACGGGATACCATATGAACACCTTGATCCCCGGGTCCTCTGAATCGTATGACCCTGGAAATGCTAGCATGTCCTCTGCCTCTGGCTGAAAAGTCGCCGTGCCACCAGTTACTCTGATCTGGGCACAGGATATATAGAACTGTGCACCGCCTGTTGTGCTCGCAGAGTGGATACCAAGGTGCTCGAGGCGGAGAAGGTACTCTCCATCTTCGATGCATTCCGGAATGGTCACTGATAGTGTTTTATTTCCTTCCATGGATTCAGTACCGGTGTACATCCGGGGAATTGTATGTAAAGGAGGTGGCAGAGAGCTTACCAAAGTTCGGCCAAGTCAAACGATCGCCGGTGAGGGTTGGCTCGTCGCTCGAAATTTTGATCCAAGTCTTGCCCTTGCCATCGAAGTCTTCAACTTTCGTACCCGTGGGTGCTTTTGCCATGTAGAACTGAAGGGGACCCTGGTGGATGATGGACCCGTAGCCTTCGAAGGCTAGTAACTTCCGGTGTTAGTATTCCTATGCACAAGTTTATTCCAGTCCCGCGATCATTTACGTCCACGTACAGATTGTAGACCCTGCAGTCACATCGAGTGTCTTAGTTCCCATATTCGTAAACGGGTCTTAATCCATGCGGTTGCACGTCATGTTGGGTCCGTAGACGTCAGTTTCTGGGTGGTCACGGTTCAGCCACGCTATCTCGCGGATATATTCGAACGGTTCTGATGACTCGTTTTTGTAGATTGTAGTGTGGAAGTGGTCTAGGGGACTTTAGTGACTCTATCTTGCCAACTATAGGTTGAAGGCTTACAATGAGCTTGACAAAGGCTAGAGAAGCCCAGAATCGCTAAGATGAACTTCATGACGGGTCGGCGTAGCAGAGCTGAAGGAGAATATTGGAGGCGGACAATCGCAACCTAAGATTTCATGCAAAAACAGGAGTATGGGAGTTTTGCCAAAGGGGAGCCGACGTGAAGGTTATATGCGCATTCATATCGCCTCAACTCGGCAGTCTTTTTGACTTGCCGATAAACGATGGGTTTCGGACATCCAGCTTAGCGTAGGCCGGCTCATATTACAGTCTCAGCAATTACCACAATTGCCCTTGGATAGCGAAAGGGTGCAATGAAGAGGTTCTGGATACGCCAGATAAAACTGGTTCGCATATCCATCCTTCTGACCATTTTCACGCGACGAGTCTGATCTTTAAAAAGCCGGCCAGTCGTGGGGCAGGTCTTAACCGAGGCCCTATTATAATACACGAGGCACGTGGGCTTAAAAGCCGTCTTGTTTCGGCATCATTAACAAAATATATGCGGTCCTTTAGGAAACCAATCTGGATGAATGGATCCGCTGTGCGGGGAGAATCCGTACCGTCCAACCTGCTGGGCGTAATTAATCCAGGCCAAATCTGGAAATAATATTCGCCAAGCATAAAATCTCATCTGGATCCCAACTCTCTATTCTCGAGGCTTCACTCCTGTACCTCAGGCACCCGAAGCCCCAGCATATTCACTCCGCGTAGACCCGCGCTAACATGAGAACTCGGCAGCTGACGGTATGCCAGAACTGCCGCTCGCGGAAGCTCGGGGTAAGAGGGTTATCTTGTCATCAATCATTCACTCTACGATGAACTGTCGTTTTGAGGCTAACCACTTGTCTCACCACCGGTAGTGTGACGGAAAACAGCCTGCTTGCTCCCAGTGCCTCACCAGGGGTCGCCAGTGCCCCGGATATCACGCCGACTTGGTTTTCCTCCCTCCCCGGTCATCACGGTCTTTCCAGACCAATCTGGATAGACTTGGGATATCAAGAACTACACGGGAAAGACGCAGCCCCCACCCCGAATTACGCAGCAGTTCTTCTCCAACAGTCTCCCGCCCTCTGGCGTGGCCACTGTCCGACGTTATTTCATTATGCGTTCAGAACTTTCTCCCTGCCAGCGAGGTGTCGCGGTTATCCAGCCTCCCCACCACATCCCTTTCTCGCATGTGCGGCGCATGGATGGAAGTTCTGCCGAGGCTAAGTACCACTTCAAGTGAGTACTTTCTTTCGCCAGCAATTCGAGCGCTAGCTCTATCCATCTTTGCCAGGGGCCGTACTGGGCGATCTCCCATTCCAGCTGCGCTAGAAGCTCGGTGTGACGCCTTGTGTACCTTACGGGACGCCGTCCGCCGAGAGAGCGCCTCGTCCTTCAACGCCCTTGCCGCGTCAATGATGTGTCTATTCATGTCAGAGGTGAGCTTTGTTGAGTTTCTATGAATACCATCTATCCATACTTACGTATTTTCCGTTAGATACTGGTACCGACTTCTGCTACTGGTAGCGCCGTCCATGCCGAGGGGGTTGCTACGTTGATTCGGCAACGTCCACCCGGATTCTACGCTTCCGGGCCTGCCAACAAGCTATTCGTACTAGGCTTTCGGCCCATTCTTGTTCGTGGTCCTCTATAGGCTCCCGGATCCACAGTCTAACTGTCAGTTATAGATCATCCACTCCTTCGTCACCCGAATCCCGTCTTTTCTTGCTGAAGCTCCCTGGAAGACTGAGCCATTCAGCCATATACCTCCAACTCCCCTTCAAACGCTCATGAATGACGTGAGCGTAGTCCCGACAGCTCTCAAACAGCTTGACGACTGCAGAATGGCACCAGCGAGTATCTCAGTGTCCGTCGCGGAAAATTGTGCTGCGACAATAGTCGAAGTGGTTAGCAGCCTTGCGGCAACCTATCAATCTACCCTAGCATCCGGCACACTATGGTGGTACGTGGCCGGTATAGACGGTAAAGCCTCGATCCGTTATCCCAATATCACGTTGGCAACCTATCAAACACATCACTGGGCCTACTGGATCACCTTTGTGATGCAAATCAGGCAGCTGAGGGAGGATTACCCTTGCTTGAGAGAGAAAGACATACTGTTAAACGGCCAAGAACCCGAGAGCGACACGGTCTCGGAGAAGCTCCTAGAGCTATCAACCCGAATCTTTGAGAGCATCGACTATTTCCTCCAAAACGAAATGAAGCTCTACGGAGCCTTTTCCGCCGCTTTTCCTTTCCAAACGGCATGTCATTTTCTGAAGACGGCTGGCGACGGAAACAAGCGCGTATCCTGCGCATACACGCGAGCCTTGGAGATGGTCATTAACAAGGGATTTCAAGACATATTGGCCAACGAGGAAAATCCCTTTAATTACCCCAAACCAACAGCCTAACGTACTGGATATTTTCAAGACTCTGAGATGGTTAGCTGCTCATAGTCCGTCTGGCGGCTCTGAGGTTTTATGGCTGTAATTCACAACAGGAGGGTTAAATACAGAGCAGACGATAGCCGGATTAAATCCCAGCTACGGTAGGACTAACACACATGGAAGTGGGATTTTCGCAAAACAAAATTCCAACAACACGCCCGTCACTGTCTTTCCTCTCCGCATTATCTTTCCCTCTTTATTTCACGCTACCTTTCCTTCTTCCCCACTCCACCTCACTACATCACGTGGGTCTGGCTGACTCATTCGTTCTGTGATGCCCGAACATCCGGCGGGGTAGTTCATCAGATGTCAATGTGCCAATCCGCCAATCCGCCAATGCGACAGGTCCCTTCCACATTTGTTCCATCGGCTTCAGAAAGCGGCTACGATGACTTGCATATCGTCTCATCGACCACTTACAGTGTTGATAGGGTCTACTAGCAACTTCTTCTACGACATCGTCAGCTCGCTTAAGATGTGCAAGAACGGTGGTTGGGAGTATTTAGACTTCGCAGCCACGATTTTAGCATTGGCGTCCAGTTTCTCAAATAAATTCTCCCAAGGTCCGCGTTCTGTCCTTCGTAATGACCTACCTTGTTTGCCATCGCCAAAAAAAAAAGCTAGCCACACCTGGATCACATATATTCTTATCCTGACAAAGAAGGAAATAAGTTTTAGAACTCTACGCAATACCGTCTAGCGGTAGAAAGGAAGATCGAGAACACCTTACAAAGTCTGGGAAGGGGCGGTCGGTGGTGTTACTAGCATACCCGAAACTGCCAATCGATGCAGGATCTAATTCGATAGAAATACACCCGCCTGGGTTCAAGGCCGTTGAGAAGTGAAAGGGAAAGAAAGCCACAACTCATTCAACGCCGATTATTGGAATCGGGCCGATGAGGCGACGGGCGACTGAAGCTCTTGCTCCAACGGACTGCTCATTGGGGGCATGATCGCCACATGTTGGCGACTAGTTGCGGCAGAGGAAGGAGGAGCTGAATCTCTTCTGGCTTGTGCACAAATATTCAGTCTTTTTATTCTGGGAACGGATTCCCGTTTGGGAACCTTTTCCTCAATAGACCATCAATTCCAGCTTCACACTATGCTACTAAATGACAATTACTCGACTAGTTCCCCCAAAGGCAGGTCCTGGAAAGTGAGCAGGAGCGGGGGACCGACCTGTGAGGGCGGAGATAACATCTATGTGAGCGACAGCAAAGTCTCTGCGCTCGCGTCCTTGCAGGGGCTCTCCCGTGGCGCCTCCACTGACATCGCCACCCGAAAGCCATCACCTGAGACAAAAGGCAATCGGCATTTTTGAAGGCGCGAGTCTCTGGGCAGCTCTTCGCTGCGCTCACTTAGAGTCACACTCCTTTTCCTCTCTACTCCGTTCTACAGGTTCCAAGAGTTGATTCCAAGGAACAACCAGCGCGTATCCGATTCTTTTGGAGACCCCCAACTCTCCCGACATTGAAGAGCGAGCGATTCTGGGACGTCTGAGTCAACGGGATGATCGTGGAAGACATTCGAACACCAAACATACAGTACAACACACCGGTCCACGGAAAGGGACAATCTGAGGCCAGCGGGAATCGGGCAGGCGCGATCGAGCACAAACAAGCGAATTTTACTACGCTCTAGAGCCCCTGCCTGTCTCACAATCGCAGGATTCCTCCTCCCCAACGTAGTCTCCCATCTGGCGACCGAACCGTCAGTGCCCGACTCCACCTCCTCTTGAAGCTGGCAATCCAACGCGTGAGGACGCGATGCATACTTTGCGACATTACCGGTCAAAGCTTTCCTACAAACAGCAATTCTATTCATATGCAACAGACCATTCAAGCAACTGCTACAAACCCTTCGATCCCTTGTCGGTACCTGAGATAACTAGAATCATTGGCCAGCAGCCCTACTTCACCTTATTTTCCGCACGGACACCGTTGTCCAGCTTGACCCTTTCTCCTATCCGATTTTCGTCAACAAATTGACGCTCCCGAGACTCTAACCCGTATCCCCCGAGACCCTCAGCCGCATTTCCGAGATCAACACCTTCTACGGCAATACGAAAAGAGAAGGTGACAGCAAACTTGATTCTGGGCAAGAAGGCGGGAAAGATCGGGCCCAGACTCTCATCAAGAAGGGGCCGTACAGCTTTCTCATCAGGCACTTTGCTTGACCTTTGCGGTCGCTTGCAGCTGCGGCGTCACAGACGCTTGTCTCCGAACCTCCCAATCCGCCTGCCAAGGATGAGGATACTGCTTCCAGGGAAGGAAGCCGCTGTTTGTTCAGCCACCTCGTATTCCGGTGGCAGGAAGGGCAAAAGTTCGCCGATGATTCTTTCCATGAACATGATTGAACAT